TTTTATCCTTTTTAAATAGATATTAAAATTTAAAGTTTAAATTAGTTAGTTTTTGTTTGAGTCAAATTTAGAATTTAAATTTTAAAAATACAAACCAAACGTTCAAAAAATAGTAAATATTTTGTTTTTAAATTAGAAGCTCAAAATCCTTTTTATCCTTTTTAAAAAGATACTAAAATTTAAAGTTTAAATTTGTTAATTTTTGTTTGAGTCAAATTTAGAATTTAAATTTTAAAAATACAAACCAAGCGTTCAAAAAACAGTAAATATTTTTTTTTTAAATTAGACGCTCGAAATCATTTTTATCCTTTTTAAAGACATATTAAATTTTAAAGTTTAAATTAGTTAGTTTTTGTTTGAGTCAAATTTAGAATTTAGATTTTAAAAATACAAACCAAGCGTTCAAAAAACTGTAAATATTTTGTTTTTAAATTAGACGCTCGAAATCCTTTTTAATCAGATATTAAAATTTAAAGTTTAAATTTGTTAGTTTTTGTTTGAGTCAAATTTAGAATTTAAATTTTAAAAATATAATCCAAGCTCGACCCTGCCCAGTCCACTTTCAGGAAATTACTTTTAAAATTAATTTTTAAAAATGTTTATGATAATTAGTTTTTTTTAAATTATTTGTACGAAATTCTTTTACCCTTTTGTATTATTATTATTATTATGTTTTCAAAAAAAAAATTTAAAAAAAAAATCAATAATATTCATTTTTTGTAAAGGATATTGATTTCAAGGCTAATTATGATAAATTTAATTAGAAGATAAAAAACTTCATATGCCTGTATTATATTTTGGAATTGAAGAGCTATCAATTTCTCTTCTAGTTCATATTCTCAACATGAGCATATAAAACAGAGCTTTTCAATGCCTAACTAAATTGAATTAGGCTAGGCACTTATACAATGGGCACAAACAAAATTAAAAAAGTAGAAGTATAAATTAATATTGATAATTAAAGTAAAAAATTCCTAAAAGAAAAATTGCTTTGAAACTATGTTGCTGGGTTGCACTGGTCTAGCATCTGACACACTTCAACATTCTTTGAAGAAATAGAAGATGGTTTTATGAGGTCAAAGTAGTATCATTCATATCTAACTCATCACTCCCATCGTCATGATAAGCATATATGTCAAGAACAGACATAAATTAAAGAACATCAACAACAATGCGAAACAAATTATGTACGGATAGGAAGAATAGAAGGGAAAAATCATCTTGCTCTTGCAGACATTAAAGATAGAAAATAGAAGAACTTTAAGATAAAGAAATTTTTTTTACCGTGTTGAATTTTGAGATGGTGCTCAAAAAGCACATATAACACACAGGAGAGAAAAAGACAGAACTTACCAAAAGGCTGGGATGATCTACGCATTATGCCATTGGTCGTTGTATACTTTAAAGTTAAGACATTTTATTATATCATTTCATTCATTCATGATATTAGATTATGGAGAAAATACTTATAGAAGAAAAACAGATAGAGAAGAATGTCATACCTTCCTCTGAGGAAGTACAAAAGCAATATCCTAGTGATTCCAAATCATCCCGTCAGTTTTGTTCTACAACAAAGCTGCAAAAAAAAAAAGCAAAAATATTACATGTTCATGTGATAGAACAACAATCTGATAAGATGAAGAAGATAAACACATAAATAAGAGAAGAAATCTGTGCACAACAGTTAATTACCAAATGAAAAAACCAATAACACATATCCTATTTATACACAAAATATTTGCATTTTTTACAAAATATTTTTTTTTTAATGATAATTTTTTAACAAAAAAGTAATGGAATAATAAATGAGCTGTCTACCACCAACAATTGTTGACATATTTTCTCACCCTTTAAAATTCAAATTCAAATTCAAAATTCAAAATTCAAAATTCAAATTCAAAATTCAAAATCAAGATTTCAGAAAGTAGCGAGACATTAAATGAGTTGTCTGCCACTAACAATTGTTAACATATTTTTTCAATTGAATTTAATTACAAATTCAATTTTATTTAATATATTTTTATTTATTTTTTATCGAAGAAGGAAAGATTTTAAATATTTTGTAGTATGAATACAAAGCTGAGAGTGAAAAAAAAACGACACGTAAACAAACTTAGCAAATAATGAATTTCCTTTAGAATATTAGATGCTGGTTGGACGATGGAAGATAAATGTTTACTTTGAAATGTACATACAAATTGTACTAGAGTTTCAAAATTCTATATTATTGCTTCCAATGTGACTTGATAAGAAAAGTACATTACGCTTCATTATCATGCTATGACACCGTTCCCTCGCCCAAAAAAGGTACATGCTCGGGTAAGTTGGAACCTGACCTTATTTATTGATCTGAGCTATAATTCCATGCAATGCTCATGCAAGTTCCGTCGGAGAGCACATTCCAATTATTTTTGCAAGATTATTTGTAAAATATTAGATTTTAATTAAAGATTAATTTTAACATGTATTAAGAATAATAATAAAAATATAAATTTCTGTATAATGAAAAAATTATTTAATTCAATTTAAAAATTGAGTTACCCAAATTGAGTGAATTTCAGATAAATTTGTACAAGAGAAATAATAATGAGAACATCGAACAAAATGTTATTTTTTGGCAAATGCCGGCGTAGCTCCAATCTACTCCTGTCGTAATTCTGACATACATATCTTGTTTTTGATCTTGAAAGCAATGTATCATATGTTAATTAATTAGTAATTGATGTTTAAACAACTATGTCCAACTATACAAGTTATGTGTTGATTGATCAAGCGCACAGTTAGGCTTTCTTTAACAAATATATAGGACTACAAGGCCAGGAAAGCACGCACTATTTTTTATTAGTATATGGATGTGGTGCTTTTATATTGTGAATCATGATGAGAACTCGGAAACAGGGTTGGTATTTGATGGCAATTATTTGATTGAATTTCGAATTTGTAGATAACGTGGACCATGGATTAAATTAAATGATATTTGATGGAAAATATTTGATTAAAAGCAATTTGATTCGATCGATGGCATTAGACCATTAGTTGCGTTGTCAATTGTCCCCGATTCTTGGATCCAGTGGAATGAAGTTGTCTTCAGCTTCTTTGATCAGGTTGTGTAATTGCTTTCTACATAACTTTTAAGAAATTCGTTACACTGTCCGTGTTACGAAACCCAAATAAAAAATGAATAAAGAAATATATCCTATATTTGGAACAAGGTTTAGGATCCTCTGCACTTTTTTTAAACAGCAGAATGTGCAATTCACAATCTAGAAGTTAAATGTTTACATGGTTCTGTTCGGTACTAATGAACAGAATATCTCTAGAGTATATGCTCAGAGATATCTAGAAGATAGATATCCGATTGGCTTAGCTGATACTCCAATCACTACGTACTATCAATAGGCATGTAGCTAAGATGTGAGTGTGTGCACAGTATTGACAATAATAATAAATAGGTCAAAAATTGTGTACTGTGACCTTTAGCCTTATATTTATAGAAGTTACCTCTTGTGCTTGGGTTGATGAGATCTCTCAGTTAGTATGATATCTGTCTTGTTGATGGGATCAAGGGATCTTATCTCTTGATTCCTTCTGTATTGTGTTGTTGAAATTTTCTTAAGTTATTCTTTGTATATACCCTATTAATCTTTAATTGGAGATATGATTAGGATATGGATTTAGTTCATAACAGATTCAGATTTATTGTATTTTTTAATAAACTACACAATATTCATTCCCTTTGAACAACCTCACAATATTGATGTTTGAAGTTGTTAATGGATACTTAGATGGTATGATTATTTTGAAACAAGTTAAATGAAATGAACAACTCATGTGAACAGTCACTTTGGACGTGCTAACAAAAAACAAAATATTACTTTTAGACTTGGAATGTGTTAGTTAAATATTTTGAAATTAGCAAGCTATCATTTTCAATTTTTCTTTTCATTTTTAAAAGGTGGGAACCGCCACATTAAAGAGACTAATTAAGTCCATGTATTGTAGGATTTGTAGAATTCCAGCACACAACAGCGAAATCATGTCCAAAACTGGGCTCGACCATTCCCACTGGAATCAGGATCAGCTGGCCACAATATCTCCGAGTTTCTAGGATAGGATTCGAGTCAATGGAAGAATTATTTGAAAAGTCTTAAGTCTAGATATACCCTTACTTAATCAATGTAGAGATTGATATTCGATGAGCTTTTCCCATTATATTATACTCTTTGATCATTACAGCAGTACTATTTATTTGCCGAATTATTGATTAATTTACATCTGTTCTCACTTCTTAGCAAACGACAAAAGTATCACCCCTGCAACGTAGAATATGCATTTGATTATTTTGTGGACTCTTTAATATGCCGGTTGGAGGGGCCACACTATCACTGAATCGTAAGTTTTTCTCCACCACACGTGCCCTTTGGGAATTGGCCAAAAATTTCTCGAGTCAATGGAAACTCAGTATTTCACCAAAAAAAAATGGGAAGGAGGGGACTCTCCTTTAAAACCAAGCTTATCACTCATATTTGGAAATTGACAACTTACCAACTGGTAATTGATTGCAAATATCAACTCACAATATCACAAACATATGCTTGCATTATTGCACTATTTTTTTAAAAAAAATTGCTAATGGGTTGTATGATAAGCTCTTGTTGTTTGCTTATTGGTTAAGATTTTCAAATGAGAAATTGAAAAGGAAGGATATATAAGAAAATAACTTAGTAAAAAAAAATGTACAAAAGGGTAAAAGGGAGTTAGGCAAATAACCTTGAGTGAGGATTGAGACAGGGCTGATCAGGGACCACATGCTGAAGAATGGTCCTTTGATTTGCAAACCCTTGATCAAAATTTCAATGTCTAGTTGGTGAAGAACACCGCCAAAGTCCACAAAACAAACAATTGGTGGAGGTATTAATTTGTCAGCTTGAAATAGGCTCTCTAAAATATAAAATGGGTTAAGTCTATTATTCTTCATTGAAAGATAGGGTTCTATATTGTTGTGTCTAGGCCAGTTCACATAATTATAAACCCGTGAGCATCAAAGTGCTACTGCTCTAAGTTTGGATACAGTGAGGTCGAGTGGACAAAAAATGTTACAACAACGAAATATATAAGCAGTGTCTACCGGGGTGACCAACAACGTTGAAAGCTGTGCCATATATATCTATTGATCAGTAAGCTTCTTCTCCATCTTAGAACAATGTTCATTAAGATCTTTATCGTACACGAATGCAAGTTCCAAAGAATCATTCTCAGTTCAGTTGAGATATAATTATATATGCATATGTGGGGTGTTGTGGTTAATTTGGGTGTGTGGCTAATTTTCTTCTTCCATGTATTTTGAGTAATGGCCACTTTAACAATCATTACTATCATCAGCTAGATGACATTTAAATACCAAAACTCATTAGATTTTTGCTTCTGACTTCTCTTCCGGGATATTTATTGTCTTCAGCTGTTTTGATTGCAGGAGGAGTTTAGATATGGAGATTTCATCAACCAGAGGGTTAACTGAACTGGTAAGATATATATATATCTCTTGTAAATAATTATTCTTGAAACAAAGGTAGATAAATTTATACTCTGCAAGTTCATAGTGGATCATTTAGTACATTGACAGTGACTAACTTTATTTTGGAACCATTTAACACATGGAGATTTAAATTCTGGCATTTGGTTGAGAAACAAGGCAAATATTTAATTAATAGGTGAAATATGGATATACTTGAATCTTTCTGGCTAGAGCTTCGTTGATGAAATTTCTATGAACCTTGTGAATGTTTTGCATAGTGAGTATATATAACGTTTTCTGATTTAGCAGGGGATAATAGAGGATCCTAACTTTCTCCATCAGTGGCACTTAAGCTCTATTGACACTTCTAGCTTAACATCTGCTACTTTAGGAGAGACTTTGCAAAAATATTCATTCTCTAATGACCCAAACTTCAACCCCAAAACTTCCATGGAAACTTCACCCACTGGAATTGAAAGACCCGCAAAACAGCTCAAAAACAACAGCTGGAATCACAACAAAAGTCCTCAGACATCAGAGACGCAATTTGATTCTTGTTCAAATCTTCTTTCATTTGTTGATTTGAATTACACAAGTCAACTGGGACTAGTGAAGCCTAAGGTGGAGATGGTGTGTCCTAAAATGGATTACACTACTCCTGCAGACATGTTGATCTCTCAAGGAACCTTGGAGAATCAAAACTATGTCTTCAAAACTTGCCACGAGGCCAAAAAGACTGGGACACGTCCTAAACTTTCTCAACACCATGACCACATAATAGCTGAAAGGAAGCGGCGAGAGAAGCTCAGCCAGCGGTTCATTGCTCTATCTGCTCTTGTTCCGGGCCTAAAGAAGGTATCAAATATTATTGATGTGCTTTTTGTCATTATAATTCCGAGTTTACTGCTTCTGTCTTGTTATAAATTGAACATATGTTGGAGTATTCAGAGATGAACTACCAACTAATTAACATATAGAAATTTATCGATGTAAAAAATCAATTCAACTCAATAGCTTAAATTGTTACGGGAAGGTCACTATTATATTTCTGTAACGCGTCAAAAACTTAACTTGTTAAGTGAGATTATATCAATAGTTTTATATTATATTTCTCGACAATTACTTATCAAGCTTTATAATATTGATTTCTTCTTACTTCATCCTGCAGGCTACTTTTAATCTAAAACCATCTTTAAAGAATTTAAACCTTTATTTTTGTATGGGGGATGGGGGCAGTTGTGGACAGCTACAATGTCAATTTAACTTTACATTGGATATACATCGGTCTCATTTTTCAATTTCCTACTAACAGATGGACAAGGCTTCAGTTCTTGGAGATGCTATCAAGTACTTGAAGCAAATGCAAGAGAAAGTGAGTGCTCTTGAGGAGGAACAGAAGAGGAAGAAAACTGTGGAATCTGTGGTAATTGTGAAGAAATCTCAAATATCTAATGATGCTGAAGACTGTTCTTCGGATGCTGCTGGTGGTACATTTGACGAGGCACTACCTGAAATTGAAGCACGATTTTGTGAAAGAAATGTCCTCATAAGAGTACACTGTGAGAAGAATAAAGGAGTTGTAGAAAAAACAATCAGCGAAATTGAGAAACTCCATCTAAAAGTCATCAATACCAGTGCCTTGACATTTGGGAGTTTTGCCCTTGATATAACCATTATTGCTCAGGTAATTTCTGTTCCTATTCTATTGGCTGAAAGAAGCAATATCACACAGACCGAATATATATATATATATATATATATATATATATATATATATATATATATATATATATTTCTGCAACCACTTTAGATAAGTTTATCTACAGCTACTTATTTATAACTATTTTCTTTCGGGAGAACACAGTTATAAAGCATAACTGTAGATAAATTTATCTAAAGTAGCTGCAAAAATGTTTACCCTATATATATATAGGCAAAATGATTTCTGCAGCCGCTGCACCTACAGCAAGCCAGGATCCGCTTCCGGATCCTGTTTTTTTTTTTTTAAAAAAAAAAAAGCTGTGAGGCTCACTTTTCTGTATCAGCTGCAGAAATGTTAAGCCCATATATATATATATATATATATATATATATATATATATATTGAATTAAGTTCCATATATACCAGCAAATAATAAACAAATTTAAGTGTTGACTATATATGTTGATGATACTAAATGCTCAGTTGTTTATCATTTTCTACAATAATTGTAGTTTTTTTTTTATCAATAAGGGAATTATTTTTGCAATTTGCAGATGGATACGGAATTTTGCATGAAAGTGAAGGATCTTGTGAGAAACCTACGCTCAGCTTATTCATCTTTCATGTGAAGAAGTTTCATATTTATTTAGTTGACTACCACGTTATACAGAATCTATCGATCTTCCCCAAAAGCTTCAGAAGTATAGTAGTGCAATAAGCTATATTACAGTTTCAAGTTTATGTTCTTTTCAGTAATAATTCTATTTACAAGGCCTGCATGTAATGTCTGCCATCTTAATGAAACCATCTATGCTCGGACAGGTTCATTTTGCAGGAGGGTTTTTCTAGTCATATATTTTCTTTTTGCATGGTCAACTTGTTGACCGTGTTATTAACTATCACCCTCCTGTTTCACGAGTTAATGTAGTGCTTCTTAGGGCTGTTTTGGCAGGAGGTTGAAGTTCAACTCTACTCGTTTTCTGTCCTTTTCTTACCTAAATTTTTTGACTAATAAGCCTTTGTTGAGTAACTTATTATTTTTCTTAGTGGTCTTGAGCTGCTTCTTTTTTTTTTTTGGTGGAAAAAATTGTGCTTGTAAAAGTTTGGTCAACAATTGATAGTAATGGAATAATTTAACCCAAGGATATATTTTCTCACACCCTCACCCCTCAAGGAAGGAAGAATTTTTTTTTCCTTTTTTTCTTTTTGGTTGCTTTAGGAATTGCTGGTAAAAAGATTCAAAGTTCATGTTTTTTATGTTTCATTAATATTGCACTGTAAACAAATTACTTTAGTTAAATTCATTTTTTACTCTAAAGAAGAAAATATTGATATATTAATTTGATATCCTGATTTTGTGAATGTATGAAGTTCAGGAATTGATTTCCGACAGTTACTGGTAAATGGTTCTTCGTATAATCAGTCATATTGGCCAATATCTACTTCTGAGAATTCTGGAAAATAATGGAAAGAGATTATGACAAGATCATTGGAAACTTCGGGCATCTAGTACAATCATATGTGCATTTTCACAAAAGGAAAAAGTTCATACGATCATACAAAAAAAAAAAAAAAACAAAAGAAGGAAAAAAAAAAGAGTTCGTTTGCACATAATTAAAAAATGTTCCTGAGTTCATATACGTACTATATATGAGACTTTTTATGTTCTTCTACCGGCATTTGAACCTGGACAACGAGGAAATTGTTCTACAACAATTGCCACATCGACCACAAATGCCGGTCTATATATGAGACTTTACTAGACGTTCAATTATAAAACTTTTTGTAGGGTTCTTATATTGGCATGTGAGATATCCTAATATCAAATAATCCCATCTTTGAAGTTTGATACAAGAATATAAATCCCACAAAATATACATTACACTCAACGAAAATTTAGATACTGACTTTTCTAAGCATCCTTACCTCTTGTGCCAACAAAACTTCAAATGTAACATCGACTAAGGTATGCAGAGGCGGTTATTTTAGGAAATTGAGGTGATTAAAACCGCCTCTAAATGCTTGGATCGGATGTTCATAAATTAATAAATCAAATTTTCTTTCTTTCTTTTTAATCAAATTTCCATATTTATAATCACAAGTGTTTTCCATTAGAATAATTTATAACCTCTCGTAATCTAATTATAATTGGTTGCAATAAAGTAGGGCAAAAAAATTTAAATATTATTTTTTTAATAAATAATTACGCAAATGTAGTCGTTTTGAAACTATTTATGCAGATATAGAAGTCAAACATACCCACATGGGGCGTGACCCATTGTAGAGAGACACGCTCATATGAGGCGTGACCTAAGAGAGAGATACGCCCACATGGGGTGTGACCCATTGTAGAGAGACACGCCCAACAGGGGCGTGACCTCCCTGGTCTATATAAGAATAACATAGCTATGTCAACATAGCATAACTATTGAGTTCTTAACTTATGGGCTACCGAAAAATAGATACATCTTATTTGTATAGGTAGTATATAGCTATCTTCAACTGTACATTCTTATACATACACATTGTGACAGAGCTACGTTGGTGCCCACAGGTACTTTAGCATTGTCTAATTTAGCCACGTTTCAAGCGTAACAAAATAAATGTAGTAAACCACGTTTCAAATTTTTTGAAAATTAGTCACATTTTGGACGTAGCTATATAATCCTAGCTATCTTGGCACTGGCTAAATTTTTTGGCACCGGCGAAAATGTCTCACCGGCTTCGCCACTGCATACACAGTCTCTGGATCGCTCTTGTTCAGGTATTAATTCGATTCATTCATATATCCCTCCCGCTGGAAGCCTGTCAGGAGTCGCTCCTTATCTGTAGCTCATCTCTTTCGCATCGGCGATCACTTCCCGCCCTTATCAGCGCCCTTGATATTACATCTTACAACATGAGAAATATTAATCGTACGGACAAACAAAATTCTACCTATCAAAGATTTAGTACAACTACATCTTCAAAAACACGAACTTGCGATCACTAAAGGATAGTAGTTATGTTTAACCAAATAAGCTAAATATGAGAATACATTTAAATTTGGGTAGGGATATGCAAAATAACCAAAAAAATTGAACCGAACTGTGAACTGCACTTAAAATAACTGGTTTTTAAAAATAAGTTCATGAACCGAACTGGTTTTTAAATAACTAGTTTATGAACCGAACCGTTTTCGAATTGAACCGAACTATTTTGAACCGAACCGAACTGATTTTTATTACTTTGTTTCTTCAGTTTTTAATTTTTCTTTTCTTTTCTTTTTAAGAATAGGGTCGACCCGAACTGGTTCCAACTGAACATAATTGTTTTCAAACCGAACAGGATCGATTTTGAACCAAACAGAACCATTTAAACCAATTCGTTTAGGTTCTTCAAAAAATTCAATTCGATTCGACTCATGTACATCCCTAAATTTGGGTAGGGGATACTCCTTGTAGCTTGAGGTGGCCTCGACTTCCCCTTCTATGTTTTAATTATGGGTTTTATTAAAGGGTTTTATATTTGTTAAGTTACATGATATAAGATAATTTTTCTACACACACTATTTTATGTGGGTTCCATTCCTTAATTTTTCTCTCTCTTTTCTTCTCTCTCCTCTCTTTTCTTAATTGTATGTGTAGGACAATTATGTAACATAACTTTTGATTTACCCTTTATTAAAATATGAATTAAATGAAGAGGGATGGCACTTGGCATGTAATGCCACCGGACAATTACATAACGCGGACAAAAGGATATAAAATTAACAACTGGATATGGACAATCAAGAAAACTTGCAATGCCAGCTTGAAATATTGCAGTTGTTTAGCCTTCATTAGATGTCATATCTATAATCTTGTAATTTATCTAAGCTCAATCCTTGTGAGATTTCCTTATAATCTCAGTCCCCACAAAAGATTGTGGTCTTATTACGACTGTTATCTGATAACTAAAAATTTAATTTCGTAATAATTGAGGTCATTAAATGTGATGATAAATAAATAGGAAAATATTTTCTCCTTTAAAAGAAAAAAATATTTTCTCTAAATAAATAGGTTATGATAAATAAATACTCTTGCTTTCCCTGACAGCATGCGATAACAGGAGACACTGGGCCACTGCCTCGCACATAAAAATAATCACTTTCAAATGGGCCTTACTTAAATAATGGGCGTCATTGTAAGTAAAAAACTCTTGTTGGCTGAATATTAGCTATTGGGCCTTACGATTTTTTTAATATATATCAACTAATGTCCAAAGTTTTTATAAATCCTCACTAATTTGGTTTTAGATTTGAATTTTTCTACTTTCTTTTGGAATTGCGACTTTCAGAAATTTAATTTATTATCTTTTGAGTAGGTCAAATCTTGAAATCTAATAATTAAGTTGCCACTAAACCAACAACTTGTGGGTCTTGTGAATTTTTTTATTTAACCTTGAGCTTAGTCGGAGAAACGAGGTTGTGGAGTGATCAGTTCAGAGAGATGATTGGTCCTGGAAGCTCCAACAGTTTTATAAATGGATAGCTTTTTTTTAACTGGGTTCCAACTAGCTTCGGAGAAAAGGATTTGTACCCACTCTTGGCATGTTGGGACCTCCTTCCTTCACCAAAATATTGAAGTCTAATTTCCCAAACCCTCTTCATATACCCTTCGGTTTCCTAATACAGGTCCATCTTTCATGTGAACTCCAATCTATTATCCGTGTATCCTTTCCTTTTCTTTTTTTGTGTGGAAATGTATTCCTTTTCTTTATCCATGAACAAAAATGCTTCCTGATTCCTCTATTAATCAATTTACTCGTGACAATAACATTGAACTTTCTAGGATGGCTTTGTTGTCGAGGACTTGGTTAACTCCATTAGAATTAACTAAATGGGCCTCTCTCAAACTTTATTATGTTATATTTAGTTCTTGTTCAAGGAAGTTATAGAATTTTTAAGCAAAATCTACAAAACTTTTGAAACCAATTATAACTTAAATGAACTCAAAACATATATTCTGAAAACTCAAATACAAGATAAAGGGCTTCTTTGAATTCTGTTTTGAAAAATAATTTTAAATTTTCAGAAAAAAAAACTTATTTGATAAGACATATTTTGTAAAATAAAAAAAAATAAAAAATTATAACTGTTTTATTGTTATTAGAATCAAATTTAGAAAATATATCTGAGTTATTTTTGTTTTATATTTTGACTTTTAACTCTCAAAACAAAAAATACAGAAAATACATATTTCATTTACTATTCTATTCTATAAAACTGTTTTTTTATAAATAAATAAATAAAAAAAGAATACAATCAAATAAACCCAAAGTAACTGAATTTTTTTAACAAGAATCTGATTAACTTTACATTTATGCAAGATAACTTCACTTCGATTTGAAAAAGGAAAAAAAAAAAATTATGCACATGTAATATACGTTTCACTGTAAATGAGATGGCATTTCCCAATGCATCAAGGTGTCGTGGTGTAGTTGATTATCACGGCAGTCTAACACACTGAAGGTCTCCGGTTCGAATCCGGACGACGCCAAATTTTATTAAACTCTTGTTTCCAAGTTTTTCCGAAGGAGTAACAAAACGACGTTGTGGCGGGCAATTACGAAAATGGCACGGGGACGCCGAGATCAAAGCCGCGTTATCCGAAAAACCCATACGAAAATATTGTCAGTTTTGTCACATGGCTCCACACCACGAATCCCCACCCAATCACATTCCTCCTCAAATAACTTTCTCGATTCTCATTTGTCCACGTCATCAGTACTAGAAGATTCCTCTACCCCCGTAGAATCCAAACGCATGTTAAAACCAAACGTGAAAAGACACACGCACGCACAATCGCCATTGTATTCATTCATACATCAATCGCTTTGGTGTTTCCAAATTCTGTATCATTATTGTCTGTTACGCCATGAATTCGCTTCTTCGCTTTGGGATCGTCCCTCTCGCTTTCCTTCTTCTTCTTCTTCTTCATTCTTCCCTCGCTTCCGTCATCAACCCCAAGGCTTTTTATGTACGTCCCTTTTAACTTCTCCTTTTACTTTTTTTTTTTTTTTTTTTTTGTGGTTCTGATTATTTATGTTTATGGTATTGTGTATGTAGGATTTGAAGGAATCGATTGTCGAAGGATTAGGGTTTTCACCCGAAGATTTCAAGATTACGGAGTTTGATCCTAGAGAGGCTCAGGTGGGGCATTCATTGGAGTACCAATTCGACCTTGAGATTGATCAAAAGGTTATTCCCTTCAAGCTCCTTGAAGATGTCAACCGCTGGGACTACGTTGATCTTCCAATTTTCCGGGTCGACGACCAAAACGGGTTGGTTCCGAAACCGGTTTCCGGTAATGGGTTGCCCGTTTTGGCTCCTTTCCAGCTTGCTGGACCTATGGAGCTCTGGGTTCAGGATGCAAAGGACATGAGGCTCTCTCTCCCTGTAAGTCTCTTGATTTCTTTGTATGGTCCACTTCAATTTAATTAATTAACCATTGTGTATATAATTTGGTTCTGTCCAGCTAGAATTTGAATTAGAACCTTTTTATAGTTAACATTAAAACCCTAATTTCTTTCATCTGTTGGGAGTTTTAAGAATTAAGAATTGTGGTGGTGTGACTGGTGTCATTCTTTATCTAGGTGAAATGATGAAAGGTCTATGTAGTTAGGTGGTCTTCTTCTGTATTGGGCAGGGATCATTAGAGTATATTTGGATTTGGATAATGTTAAAGTGAATTGTACTCTACCATCTTGATTGACATGATGTTGATTTCGTTTTGTAGCATGATGTGGATGCTGGTGTGTTAAAGAAAGTGATTTTGGCTGATGGTGCTGTGGTCACTGTCAAAGGTGCAAGATCAGTTAGTCTTCGCCAACCCCTTGATCTCCCCCTTCCCTTAAACCGAACTCAGAATGGATTTGCTGCTGGCCTTCTAACCTTGGCTGAGCAGCTCCGACATGCTTCTCGTACACAGGATGCTTCCCTCCTCTCGCTCCGCATTGTTGGTCCTACATCACTTGCAGCCCCTTCCTCAACGCCAACCTCTGATAGCAGGTTGAAGCTCAAGCGTCTTGCACCTGGTCTTGTCGAATTATCATCCCCGTCAAAGACCAAAGCAATTGAGGCCCTGTCTACGGTTGATCTCCAGGATGAAGCCCCTACACTCCTTACTCCAACTCAGTTTACTACACTATGGCCTCTTGCTTCCCTTAATGGATCAAATGCCAACTTGTTGGGTTTTGAGAAACTGCTATCCTCTGTGCTAGGTCCTAGGGCAAACAAGAAAGGTTCCTTCAGGTTGTTGAAAGCGGATGTTTCAGCCCAGACATTTGTAAAGATAGGATTCCAGGCAGAGAAGAAGCTCAAGGAAGGAGATGGGTTTAGTTTGGAGGGTTTCCCTGCGTGGAGGACTAAACCTGAGACGGTGAGGTTGCATTTTGAGGTGCTGGCTAAGGTTGATGGTGATAAAGTCATAGCAGAGAGAGTCGTGCCTGTAAACCCTGTAGTTGTGGAGGATACTGTGGCGCCTAATATGCTGACTGGGAATGTGACCATGTCAAAGATGCCTTTAGTTCACCCTCCGCCCGCCCCCTTCACCTTGTAATTTGTGGAAAGGGTTTGATTTTGTAATTACCAAAAGGAATTGTAGAGGAGAGAAGATATTCTTGTTTTACTTTTGATATATGTATACGATGTTCAAGAAACTTGTAAAAATGCCAAGTAATGAGAAAGTTGTTTTTTATGCGGAAAGTATGTTGTTTACTATTTTCAAAAATGAAATTAGCTAAAAGCTGGATGTATATTATCATACCTTTCATATTCATTCTGTGGACCCAATTGATATCTCTTCTGCTCCACCTCGACAAAGACGTACCTTGATTGCAAAGAAGGGAAGCTGTGTGACCTATTAAAGACATCAGCCACTCTAAAAGAGATCTGAAACAGAACATGAAGAACTTATATAAGAAAATTCATGATTTGAAAATTGGCACCTGAGAAGCAACAAAAGCACACTCCACCACCCCAGCTTCTCCTTTCAGACCAGGGAGGCATGAGTTGGTAAAATTGGCAGCTCCATATGCCTACATAATCAAGAGACTTCAATTAGTTAGTCTGTCCACTGGGAGTAGAAGGGATTCAATTAATAATGCTAGCTATTGTAGAGATAAGAAGATAAGCGATTAACCATTGATAGTGTTGCAGAACCGGCCCCGGCTTTGGCATGTAATATGAATGATCTTCATTGAATTATTATAAATCAATCACGACTAGAAATTAACGGGATTAAGATAACGGGATTAAGATTTTGTTAACATATTTTGCCAATCTTTCATGGATATGAAAAAAAGGATGCTCAGGAGAGAATATATATTAATAGACGTCCAGTAGCAAGTTTCATTTGATGACAATGTTTGAAGTTTGAACATCTTCCCTTTAGCAAGATTGGTACTGTGAAGGGTACATCACTGTTTAATGAGAAGGGTAATTGGTGCATATGGAATCCGAGTGATATTATTTTAGCAGATTAATATTACAGGGGATTACGTATCTGACAGTTGTAGTATCAAATAATATTTTCTCTAATAAAATATTACAGGGGATATGCCGATTTAACAAAAAAAGAGGAAGCATAAAAACTTTGACATTAAACATGTTCATTGTAGAAATCAATTAGAAGGGAGAGGAGTGAATTATTAATTATTAATGTATCAACAGTCAACAAGTCTTGCTTAAATATCCAAATCTATTTCTTGCTACCATTCCTTCTACTTCAGTCATATTTTCAGCTAATTGATTTGTATGACATCACATCAACTACTTGTGTTCCACCACTTTGGATGCAGCGAAACTACTGGGAGGCTAAACCTGTATGTAACCAAGTTTGAAGAAGGTTAAATGGCTGGTTCTACGATATAATGTATTTTAAATTTAAGGACGGACTTTGTACAATACCTTGACAATAGAGGCAATATTGTGTGTGACTCCTGCATGACCTCCCACCACTGGAACATCAACTTCTCTTGGATCAACTCCGAGTACCTCTGCCTGCAAGAAAAACAGTTGAGTAACACTTTTCTTTTACAATTCCACCAAAACAGTTACGTATATAGATCACACAACGTGAAATATCTGTTCTGTTCAACCATTATTATAATTGATATATTTCTCAAAACTATTCAAATTAACTACTTTAGTCAAACAATTAACTTAAAATGGAGGATTTCATGTTATTACTCGTTAGTTATAGCTGCAAGAGTTTGATTATATTCTTAGGCTATTAGTCTCCTTCTGCATATTTAAGTTTGCAACACAGCAGGAAGGAAATTCAATTATGAATCGTAGGCGGTTTGAATATAAAGCTTGTTATCAATATGGAGAACAGAAAGGTAACAACAGTTATGATCAATGCTTACCACAAAAGTGTTCGCCCTTGCAACATTGAGGGTTGTAACACCCAGTACAGTAGTCGCTTTAAATTATGTACAAGCTTTCTTGAAAACGTCTGCAGCAATTGTAACAGTGGAATTCACTGGATTACTAATCAAGTTCACAACAGTATTGGGTCAGAACTTGGCAATTCCTCCACAAAGGGTCTTCACAATTCCAGCATTTATTTTGAACAAATCATCCCTTGTCATTTCAGGCTTCCCCCCCCCCCCACACACACACACACACTCAAGCTGTGACTGCCCCAGGAAGCCATGCACCTAGAAACTCATTAACATTTCATAATGTGAACATATAAAGTAGCAAAACATAGTTCAATTTTTGATATAAAATGATTTCTAGCGACCCATTTTTTTCTTCTTAAACAAAAAATAAAAAAACTAATACGAAAGAGTTGGAGCTAGACTCAAATTTTATTACGCAATTAGTTGATAATCAATTGCAACATGATTTAAGAAAAATTACCACTACACCAGTGTCCATGTGACTGGCATCAGCTGTGACACCAGGGTACTTCACAACTTCATAAAGATGAAGAGCAGAAAGTAGTCGGTTCAAATGTCAGCAAAGCAAGGAAGATATCATGTCAATTAAACACGATCAAGCAGCATTCTCTGGAAATTTTGAAATGAAAAAAGATGAATATTCAACTTCTGGTTTTGATTTTTACATGACTCTTTGAATGAAAAGCTTTGAATTTTGAACTAGTAGTGTTCAAACTAAAGCAAACCAAAGGAAGAAACCTCGAATTTTGAAGGCAGAAGATGAGCTGAGATTCCTGCAATGCGCATTTTTGCTTCTGCATTAACTTCCATTTCTATGCTGCAACAGATGGATACAGATGAAGGAAGAGACTATGATCACAAACTTAAAAACAAATGCGGGGGACAAATTAATTCAAAGAGATAGGCTAACACCATTTGATTAAAAATAATACTACTATTAACATTTTGAATAATTGTAAGTTAATATACAAAAACAAAAAAAAGGATTTTGTTTGGTAAAATATATATAGCAGTATTTGATGGTATTTAGCAGTGTTTTAAAACCCCACCCCGCTCCCGGGTTGACCCGAGTCAACCCTAACCCCTCCCCTCTGATAGTTGGGGTCACAAGTTGTACCCTATATGCACATCGACCCCTCCGACCCCCGAAACTCAACCGGATTTCATTGACTCCCGGGTCAGAGAGGTCAAAGGGGGTCACTGCATGTTTTTTTTTTTTAAAAAAACTCCATAAAACAACTTCGTTTTATTAAAAAAATAAAACAAAAATGCTTGCAAACCTAAATCTAATCGTTCTCTTCTCTCCCAACGACCTATATGTCTTCAATCTTCACACCTCGCCGACGTGAATCTTCTAGAAAAGTTAAGAATTTTATCTATTCAAATGAAATCCTTACGGTCGTCGATGGAAATCAAAAACTCATTCTTATTTCCTTTAAATTTTCCTTTGTCAGGGATCTTCTCCAAAGAAGCAGAACCGGTTCAGCGTATTGATCCTATTAGAATATATGTTTTGTACTTTGGTATCTTGATACTTTAGTTAGGTTGTATAATATTGACTTGTGGTTGTATTTAGTGAATTATGTTAAGTATATTTTGAATCTTTGATGATTGGTGATTTGTTTTTTTAATATTTTTATATATGATATATATATTTATATTTTTTTAATATATAAAACCGGGTCAGCATAGTGACCCCCTGTTGAACCCGTGACTCCATGACCCCTGACCTCGACCGGGTCGATGTCTGGGACGGGTTTTTAAACACTGGTATTTAGTGTAAGTGAAAAACTATTCTCATGCTAATAAGTTTTTGCACCCTTTGATAATTGTGTCACATTTCTCTTTTCTTTTCTTTTTATTTTTTTATTTCTTTTCTTTTTATTTTTTTAGGTGATGGAGCTCACAAATTTATCTCTATGATATGAGATAACTTATCTCCTTTGACATGATATTAATAAAACCTGTAGTGTAATGAGCTATATCCTTTTTTGGGTCATGTGTTGTTTAGTAATTGGGCCATGAAAATCCATCTGAAGACTGTTGTGGGCTTTTATAGTTCCGGCAAGTTATATGGGCTTACTATACTACCAACCAATTAAGGAATTTGATCGACAGTGGGTTTCATTGGGCAAAGAGGCCCACAATCTTTGTCAAGTTTGACTACGGGTCAACATTCGGCTATGATGCATTGAATGAATTGAGAAGAAAAGTCCAACTCACACTCACCCCTTTGTTTAAGCAAGGAAAATGACAATTGAATGATTGAATCACCAATCAGAGCAAAAACACCAACTAATAACTCAAAACAAAAACTTTAACGTACACGTGAAAGTCAATTTTAATTAGCACATAAATTATACTCGACCTGATAATGAGTTCGTTGAATTTATAATAATCGAAGTATACTATTTGAATAGATTATAATTTCGATGCATGCTAGGTATATACCGGGTCATCTAATTTTATATTGTTACCTTATTTAATTGATTTTATTATATTAACAATTACATAAAATGATAGATTTATTAAATAATAAGATAAATAATTATTTGATAAAAATATAAAATATTTTTACCTTAACAATATATTAAAACTAAATTATTATTTAACATATTTATGTTTAATTTCCGCCGTATGTCCTTAATACTTTTTGTTAAATGTCCTACATTAAAATAAAGTGACTTTATTTCGCACTAAATATTTTGGTACAAGGGAATAAATTATATTAAAACTTGTGTAACATCTCATTATTTATAAATTTTTCTATATAAGCTATTTAAATTTCATTTTTACGAAAAATTTTCAATTATCTATAGATAAAAAATTAAGTAACAAATAGAATTACTAACTTCGTAATCAAAGTTACGAATATATTTTTCAAATGCAGAAATGCCTTTGTAATAAAAAAATTATTCAAATACGAAATACCTTATTCGTACGCATTTCCTACAAAGCTATACTTCGAAGTCCGAGTGTAAAGTCACATAGGTTATAAGTTTTCACTTGGGAGTTAATTTAGATTTCAAGAGTCTGAAAATGTAATTGATGTCAAAGTCACCGTAGACAAAACTGATATTTTTGGCACAAAAATAATACAAGAGTTCAAACTATGATCTGTATAGAATTCAAAGATGGTAGGCAGATCTAAACTTTCCTTGTCGACTATTTAATGCATTCTGTTTACAAATGACGTGTAAGATAGAGAAAAATAATGAAAAATACGGAGTTTATAATTTTTTATTTATGAACTTCTGTTTTCGTAAAAAAAATTATTTATTTATCTCTGG